ATGAAACCTGCGGATATTCAAGTGCACACAGTATGTGCACAGCAGCTTACAGTACATAAACTGAGACTTCTGAATATGCTTTCAAGATACCATCAAGATCGGAAGGAAAGAACGAATATGTACCTGTGAACGAGGTAGAAAATCCAAGGTTACTTTCTACAAGTCATCAAGTCGTAATTTGGCTAGGAAAATTTGCAGCAAATGTATAAGCTTCGATGATAGGATAATTCCTATACAACAGCTATACCTTTTTGCTGATTTTGGAGTCATATAAGAGCTTAAGAATTTTTGCATAAAAAAAGAAGTATTATTTTGCATTCAGTTTGCAGGTAGCTTCACCTCAGTTACACTTTGGAGTTATATGAAGAACATCCTTGGTTTCAAGATTTCGTTTTTGATTTAGAAATATCTGGAGACAGGTAGGTTTAAATGCTGATCAATTAGTTGGACTGAAGGCGTGTTAACCGGTGACTACTGCTACCTTCCTCTGTTGCTATATATTTCATAAACCTTTGGGTACCTCTTTGTAAAGGTTCAGGAGCTTTTTTCACAGAAAAAAGTAATCTGGGCATGGAGGCAACTGGGATCATCTGCAATGCAATCTGGTTTTGGAAACATATGTAAATCAGCAATTATCTTGAGCCGACTTACCTTGTATTCACGAGATTCCATAGGCCTAAATATCCAATTAACCTTGGCAATCCCACCAGGCAGAATCGTGTCCCCGGTAGTCTGCAACTCAATTAATGGATGGTCAACGCCAAGCTGATTTAAGTAGCTGTCACAGGAAGCAAAGACTTCTTCGCCCTCATTCAGAATGAGTTTGAATCCAGTCACGCGAAAGTACACAGGCACTTCGCTTGGATTTTGCAACTGAAAGGACTGGAGCACGCCTTTGCGATCGGTCTGCATGCACTGCAGGGACACTGGCGGCAAAGTGAGGCTCTCGCAGAGGGGCTGAAGATGGGCTGTCCTCGGCTCCAGAGTCAGTGATCGGAGTATGAACTACAACATTTATACAAAAGAACCGGACTCTAAATGTTCGATTTGGAATCAAAAGTCCAACCCTTGCGCCAAATTTATCTAAATTGTGAATCTCCTGTTCCTACTTTTTTGCAAGACCAAGAAGGTCTTACCCACTACTTAGATGCACCTAGAACTAAACCAGGTATTTTGCTTGAAAATGACCATCTTTTTTCGTTAAGAGTTTTGCCCCACAGAACTGGGATTATCTTATGATTCAGGCATAGAAACGTATAGGTACTTGTCTACTCACGAACGAGTTACTTTTCTAAAGATAATCATAAGTTGGTATTCAATATCATTGAAAAGTCGTGCTGGCAAACAGCTGTTTTCGGTCATTCACTTCAGGCCG